GGTGTTTGTACCTTTACACTTATCTTTCCGGCTGACTTAGCTATTCATAGACCTTTTATTCCACCACATAACTTTCCAAATTTAAACTTATGGAGTTCTTTTAAAAAAAAGAAAAACAAATGCAATTTTGTTTTGTATTACTGTAATTTTGTTTTGAATGCATGAATGTATTTGGGGGAAATGGGTATTTATTAATATGACACTGTCTCATCCAAGAGCATGGAATGCCTCTTTAGCTGTCATTTCACTTGCTCCTTTTATTAGAGTTGGAAGCTTTCTTCACATAGGTTTCATGTATTCTTTACAATTTTGTATGTGACATTTTCTACAACAAAAAAACTGCTACTGATTTTGTAGGTTGACTGGAAATCAGACAAGTTTGCTTTTTTTTTTTTGGTAGAGGTGAGGTCTCACTATGTTGCCCAGGCTGGTCTTGAACTCCTGGGCTCAAGCAATTCTCTTGCCTCAGCCTCCCAAAATGCTGAAATTGCCGGCATGAGCCATCATGCCCGGCTGCTTGCTGAATTAAAAAAAAAATTACTGGGGCACCACTAACACAGGTCAGGTAGTCACTCAGACACATAACAGAGGAGGAGCCATCTCTGTGGAACTCATTACAGAGGAGGATTAGACCGAGCATCCATCAGGGAGGAGATATAGTAACCAGGGCACCCAGTATGGAAGAGGGCCAATCACTGAGGCACACATCACAGAGTTGGGCCACTTACTAGGGCACCCATCACAGAAAAGGGGGGTCACTGCAGTACCAATTTTGGAGGAGGGCTAATTAATAGTTTGTTGATTCTGTTGATTTTTCAAGGACAGACCATCTTATCATCTGTAATAATGTTACTTTTATTTCTTCTTTTTAGTCCTTTTTATCTACCCACAGTCTTCATCAAAGTGTCCAGCATGAACTTGAGCACACTCTTTTGGGTTCCTGGTCTTAAGGAGAATTGAAATTGTCTATGAGCATATAATGCTTACTCTTGGATGCTGGATATAGCCTTTGCCAAGGAAGAAACCTTCCCCGATGTTTCCAGTGTGTGCTGGATATATTGTAATCAAAAGCAGATGTTGAACTAAACCTTATAAAAATGTCTTTGCATTAATTGAGATAATTCTATAAGTTTTCTGTGTAAGTTATTTAATGTGCTTTCTGCTTCTGTTGACAGCTAAGTAGTTCCTATCAGCTCATCCTTCCTGCAAATAACAAATATAAGCTAAATAAAATATAAAAAACAACTACCTAAAGATGTCGAAAAGTGAATAATCCTTTCAGAGTACTAATTGGTCATCTCTATTACATATTTCATTTGTTTAATTCCTAATTCATTAATTCATTTTTATTTTAGGTATGTCCCTTGTACAGAATTTTTTTAACCAACCTGACAATCTTTAATTGCAGTATCTAGTACATTTACATTTAATGCAATTGCTGATGTTTCATTTTAAATATGTTTCCTTATTTTGGTCTATTTTTCCTTCCTTTTCTGTGTTTTTTCATTTTTCCTGCCTTCTTGTGGATTGGCTGATTTCTTTTTTTAATTCTCCATGTTTTCCTTCACTATTTAGAATTATATACTCTGTTTCTATTGTTTCAGCAATTACTCTTCAAATTACAGCAGGTCATCTTTAAAGTCTAAAGTTAATCAAAACCTTCACTCTCATCCTGGATAACAGACTGAGACCTAATGGCAGGACTACAGAATGCCTCCTTCCCCACATCTTATCATCACATCCATGGGGTTCCTATGTAATAACAGCTAGAAGAACTACATGTTTATTTAAGAAGGAATCTCCAGGAAACCAAAGGACAATAGAAGAGACAAAAACAAGATCATCAGAGGAAATTTCAGACACTGACATCGCAGCTACAGCAAACAGGAAACACAGCCTAACTGCTAGTTAGATAAACATAAAACCTCATGTTAAAGACCTGTTTGCCTCAGTTCCCCTTACCTAATTCATCATGTCTGGCTTTCAGCAAAAAAAAAAATTAAAAAGCACACTAAAAGCAAAACAAAAGACAAAGCAAGCATCAGAACAAGACTCAGATATGGCAGACATTTGGGATTACCAGCCTGGGAATTTCAAGTAATTATGATAAATATGCTGTAATGGAAAAGTGGCCAACATGCAAGAAAAGGTGGGAAATACAAATTATAAGAAAGAGTAAAAAAGGAAATGCTAAAGATATATAATCAGCTTAAGTGTCCATGATGGATGATTAGATAAAGAAAATGTAGTATATACATACCATGGACCATCACTCAGCCATACAAGGGAATAAAATCACGTCTTTTGCAGCAGCATGGGTGGAACTGAAGTCCATTACCTTACGTGAAATAATTTAGAAAGTCAAGTACTGCATGCCCTCACTTATAATTGGGAGCTAAACAATGTGTACACATGGACATAGTGTGTGGAATGACAGACAATGGAGACTTGGAAGGGTGGGAGTGAGTGGGGATGAGAAATTACCTATTTGGAACAGTGTATGTCATTCAGGTGATACCTACACTTCAAATCCCAGACTTTACCACTATACAATCTATCCATGGAACACAACTGCACTTGGACCTCCTAAATCTATTTTTTTAAATGTGAAGACACAAACAATGCCATCCTCCCCCACAAATGCTAGAATTAAAAATACTGTAGCACAGATTAAGAATGCTTTTGATCAGGTCAGGCTCGGTGGCTCAGCCTGTAATCCCAGCACTTTGAGTGGCCGAGGCAAGTGGACTGCCTGAGCGCTCAGGTTCGAGACCCACCCGGGCAACTTGGGGAGACCTCGTCTCTACAATAAATAAATAAATAAATAAGCCAGGTGTGGTAGCGTGCGCCTGTAGTTCTGGTTAGTTGGAAGGCTGAGGCGGAAGGATCACCGGAGCCCAGCAGGTCGAGGCTGTGGTGGCCAGGAGCTTGCCCCTGCACTCCAGTTTGGGCAACAGAGTGAGACTCCAACTCAAAAAAAAAGAATGCTTTTGATGTCTCCTCAGTAGACTGGACATGGCTGAGGGAAGAATCAGGGAGCTTGAAGATATGCAAGAGATTAGCAAACTGAAAAGCAAAGAGAAAAAAATTTTTAAAAATTAAACAGAGCACCCAGATGTGTCTGAGACAACTAGATATAACACACATGTAATGGGAAGACCAGAAGAAGAAGAAAGACAGGGGCAGAATAAATACTTTAATATTGGCTGAACATTTTCTAAAATTGAAACATGAATACCACAGATCCAGGATGTTCAGTGAACACCAAACAAGATAAATATCAAAAAAAAACTCTACTATGATATGTCAAACTACAGAAACTCAAGGACAAAGAGAAGAATCTTGGAAGAAGTCAGAGAGGGGAAGGAAACTTCTTACCTATAGAACAGCAAGATAATAATCACACTGAATTTCTCCTAAGAAGTCCCGCAAGCAAGAAGAGAATGAAGTGAAACTTGTTTTTTTTGAGTCGGAGTCTCACTCTGTCGCCCAGGCTGGAGTGCAGTGAGTGGCATGCTCACGGCCACCGCAACCTCAACCTGCTAAGCTCAGGCTATCCTTCCACCTTAGCCTTCCAAGTAGCTGGAACTACAGCCACGCATCACCACACCCAGCTATTTATTATTATTATTATTATTATTATTATTATAGAAGTGAGGTCTTGCCAAGTTGCCCAGGTTGGTCTCCAACGTGTAAGCTCAGTCAGTCCTCTCACCTTGGCCTCCCAAAGTGCTGGGATTATAGGTGTGAGCCACCGTGCCCCGCCTAAAGTGAAACATTCAGCACTTTGTGAGGCACAGGCAAGAGGATTGTCTGAGCCCAGGTTTTCAAGACCAGCCTGGGAATTTGGTATGAACCATTTAAACATTCTTTCTCGAGTGGAGTTAGTTTTAGTCAATGTTTTTTCCTATAAAATGCTACATTTCCTTGAAATTTATTTACATAAAGTTGCACAATATCTCTTCTAATTTCTCACCTTTTCTGTGTTCCAATTAATATTCCCCTTTGACATTTTTTGCTGGGTGTATTTTTGTTCTCATTTCCTATGTTGATTAGATTAGCAATTTTGCTACTTTTTACGTTTTCAGTCAGGATTTTGCTCTGTTGCCCAGGCTGGAGTGCAGTGGCATGTTCATGGCTCACCACAGCCCCAACCTCTGGGGCTCAGGTGATCCTTCTACCTCAGTCTCCTGAGTAGCTGGGACTACAGGTGTGTGCCACCACACCCAGGTAGTTTTTATTTTTTGTAGAGTTGAGGTCTCACTATGTTGCCAGGCTGGTCTCAGACTCCTGGGCTCAAGCAATCCTCTGGCTTCAGCCTTCCAAAGTGCTGGGGTTACAGGTGTGAGCCACCGTGCCTGGTCAAAAGGCAGAGTTTTAAAATATTCAGTTTATAGTGTTTTTCTGATCTTGGGCTCATTCATTTCTGCTTTTATCTTCTTAGTTCAGTCCTTGTGCCTACTCTCGGAATTTTTTTTTTTTTTTTTTGCAATTGGATGCTTAAATGTCTTCAAAATGATTTTTATATATAGGCTTAAGCATTTAAGTGGTGACCTTTCCTCTGACCTGGGCACTGACCACACCCCACAGATTCAAAGAGGTGTCTGTGCAATTACAAGTTTCTGGAAAGGCTGGAATTGGTCTGGGCTGCTACCTCCCTGGGAGCATCAAGGGGGTGGGTGGGCCTCTGCAAGAGAAACCCCCCAGCGACTGGGGGTTGGGGGTACAATGCAGGAATTTCAAGACACTGGCTTTGAAAATATTTAATGATCTTGTCAAATATCAGATGTACTCAGGCCACACTTTGTTCATGATCCCCTCTTCCAGGCCGCCCCTGACCCACCCCCAACTCTTTCTCCATCTGCTCATTGGCTCAGCCCCTCCAGGACCCAGCATCCACAAGGGCAGGCGGTCCTCACTGGGCTCCAGAGATCCTGGCATAAGGTGCCTGGAGGTGAGAGGGGGAGGTGCAGCTGGGAAGGAACAAGGGTGCAACCCTGTCACAGCACTGAGGGGCCAGCCAGTGTGGCCACAAGGACACTGAGGGTGGCCTGCAGAGCCGGGGAGAGGGCGAGAGGGGTTGGCTGAGAGGGTATGGGTGTGGTTTTTGTGTTAAGAAGAATCCATTCTGAGAAATGGGAAACTCGGGCAAACACTGCAGGGTAGCCGGGGTAGGCACACCCACGGCCCCAGCTCGAGATTCCAATCTGCACCCAGACATGGTTGAATTCACAGACCAGCGGGCCCCCAGAGTCGCCCTGGAAGGGAAAAGGGAGTGTTCAGTTAGCCAGGCCTACGGCCTCCTGCACTTGCCTCCAATGGGGGGCAATGCAGACCCTGCAAACTGGGCAGTGCCCCGCAGGGCTGCAACGTGGCTCAGAGCCGCAGAGTAGGCCTGTGGCAGATGCGCACATTCACAGAGCATCCTGCCTCTTGGTGTGTGGCTGCAGGGCCCCTGCCCACACCAGTGGGCAGCCAGCTCGGGGTCCCCTGGGGTCCGGGCACCAAGGCCCCTCTCTCACAAGTCAGGCGGGAGCACCTCACACACAGTCTTCATTTTCAGGATGTCCCCAGCGCACAGCATCTCCGGCGTGATGTAGGACACAGATCCAAAGAACAGATAGCATAAGGACACTGGGATCAGTGGGAGCTGGGCCTCCTGCAGCTTGTTCGAGGTCTCGCCTGTGGAAAGAGGCTGCACTGAGGGCTCCACAACTGCATCTTGGGAGGAGGGGGCCCTTGCTCTTGGTGGACAGCAGAGGCAGGAGGTGGCGCCCAGGGGAGGAGCCCCAAGTACACAAGCGAAGAGCCTCACAATACACTGGAGACACCCTGCCCAGATATGGGGAGAAGCCTGACCACACATGGGGAGAAGACCCACTCACACATGGGGAGGAGTCCTGACCACACATGAGAGGAGCCTGACCATACACTGAAGGAGGCCCATCCACACTTGGAGAGGAGCCCTGCTCATACATGGGGAGGAATCATGAGCACACACTGGGGAAAGACCAGGCAATATGCTGGGTGAGACACTGAGGGTGTGACTGACACCTAGTGAAGTTTGCAGCTGTCTGGGGCCCCACAGCCTCACAACAAGGTCTGACTCTTGCAGATGGAGTCTCCCTGGCAGCTCTTTCTCCTTCATGAAAAATACTGCCCCTGGGAGGTCAGCAACTGACAATACAGACTTCTGGGGGAAAAAAAATACTGGGGTAGGGCAGGGTCCACAGATGGACCCAGTGGTGCAGAGGGATGGCCAGCAGCCCCAGGACCCACAGCACAGCTTGCTTTGCTTCCTTCAGATACAGTGAAACCTTCAGTTACTGGAAAGAGACACCAAATCCCACTGCTTCGAAGGCCTGGCCAGAACACACTATTTCTGGAGGGTGGGAAGAAACAAAGCCTTCTGGGCCAAGCACCTGTGAGTCACTACAGGTACAAAGCAGAGTTTTACATCCCCTGGAGGCAGGAGCAGGAGCGTGCAGAGGCTCATTCTCAAAGCTGAGATGCAGACACTTTCCCTGTGGCTGAGGCCAGACTAGGAGAGGCAGAACTTCTCTTTCTCCAGCACAGAGCTGGCAACAAGTGCCAGGAACAGAGGTTTTCCTTTGGAGGACAGGTAAGATTGGGCTACAGGTGAACAGAAAATGCTGAAGGTGGAGCGGGTAGCAAGACACAGAGAAACTTCAGGTCTAACACTAAGCACAACAATAGAGGAACCTGCAGCCTGTGTGGACTGATGGTAACAACAGCAATAAGAAGACCAAAACTTGCTTGAGAACTCTCTAGATAGATTCAGCTCCATCCCATCCCATTAATGGCTTGCAGAAGAGGAATGTGTGTTTTGGGGTGCAGAGACTTGTGTCTTAAATATTAATCTATGATGACAACCAAAAATTACAACACACACAAATGGGGGGAAAAAACAGAACACTAGACCCATGGTTAAGAAATAAAACATTGCACAGAATCAGACTCATGAATGACCCAGATGTTGGACATGCCTGACAGGCATAATTGATATGCTAAAGTAATTATTGGACATGCATGAACAAAGAATTTAAACAGAAAGATGCAAAGTACAAGAAAAGAATCCATTGGAAATGCTAGAAATAAAAACATAGTATCACAGATAAAAGTGCCTTTGATGAGTTATTTCCAGACTGTACATGGCTGAAGAGTGTATGAGGTCCAACAAATTTAATTACTCCTGAACTCATCCTAGAAAAGTGTTACATATCTCACTGTTGAATATCACCATGGTCACCTTCGAAGTACTCCCCTTGGGAAGCTATGCACCAATACCAGCACTTAGTCCACCAGTGAAAGCAATTTTGGAACTCTTCTTATGGAATGGCTATCGGAGTTGTCATCGTATTACCTTTGATGTCCTGAATGTCATCAAATATCTTCCTTTCAACATTTCCTTTATCTTCAGGTAAAGAAAAAAAGGCATTGGGGGCCAGATCAGGTGAGTAGGGAGGGTGTTCCAATACAGTTATTTGTACAGTGCTGCCAACGTAATTGCACAGTTGCAAGTTCTCAAACTTAATTGTAAGACAAATAATAACAGCTCTGATGGCCATTCCAGAAAAAGAATTCCATAACTGCTTTGGCAGGTGAACTAAGCTCTGGCATCAGTGCATAGCTCCCCAAGGGAAGTGCTTTGAAGGTGTCCATAGTGATATTCAGGAATGAGGTATGTAGCACTTTTTCTAGAATGGTTTGCAAATCTATTTGTCAGACCGTGTGTGTGTATTATTACATTATGTACTTTATTATATTACTCCAAGCAAACAGTGAAAGAGGGCCGTGCAGGAACCAGTGAAGAATGTATTTTTAAACTGAGAATTAGGATAAATCCAATTCTCTGAGAGAAAGGGAGATAGACAGATATCAGACATGGAATGACAATCAATGTCTCAGAAGGAAGAGAGGGTGGGCTGAATTTGGGGACAGCTTCTCACAATGAGAGTAGCTTGAAGAATGGATATCCTTTGGGCCTATAGAGATGGTCGAGAAACAGGCGCCATTCCGTTCCCCTCCCCTGCTGCTGTAGTTTGGTTTGTTTGACCTTCAAATCTTGTGCTGAAATTTGACCCCCAATGTTGGAGGTGGGGCCTAATGGGAGCTGTTTGGGTCCTAGGGTTGGATCCCTCACAAATAGATTAATGCTCTGCTGGCGAGGTGAACGGCTTCTCACTTTACACTTTCCTGCAAGATCTGGTTGTTAAAAAGAGCCTGAAAATCTCCCCCTGCCTTCCTCTCTCACCATATGAGAGAGGCTTCTGCACACACAGGCTCCCCTACACATAGGCTCCCCTCTTGCCATGAGTGGCAGCCGCCAAAGCCCTCGCAGCAGATGCCTGAGCCATGCTTCTGTACAGCCCGCAGAACCATAAGCCCAATAAATCTCTTTTCTTTATAAATTACCAGCCTCAGGTATTCTTTTGCAGCAACACTAATGAACTAAGATGCCTGCCTGCCACCCCACCACATACTCCCCCACCCCTGCAGAGAGGATGAGAATGCAGGGGTTTGTGAGACTGCATGGAGGGACAAGTGCAGTTGCCAGGAGGTGAGTGGTCCTAATTTCTTGTGGACCTAATTTGGCCCCTGGGTCAACCCTTCCTGGATATGGTAAAAAATGAAAGACTGTTGAAAAATGTGGTCAAGGATTACTGGATTTAAGGCAACATGAGTGTCACTATAATGTGTAGAAGAAAATATAGAACTGTAGCATAAGAGTTAAAGAGGAAAAATGGAGTTACACTATGTCAGGCGTCTACATTGTCTGTTAAGTAGTAAAACACAAATTCAGAGGAAATGAAGTGATGGATGGTCCAATTTCCTCTCCTTTCCTACAAAGATGCCATTTTCCACATGCCCTGCAATTCCCCCCATCGAGGTGCAGTGTAGCATTTCACCAGTCCTTGGGTCTAATTTTGTCACGGATGTGCTTTGGTCAATGGGCTTTAAGCAGGGGCTTGGAAGGGTTTGGGTCCCTTGCTCTCTTAAGTCTCTGCCACTGCCTCTGGGCGTGGCACGGCTGCCTACTGTATAATGAATGTCACATGGAGCAAAGTGCAGCCCCACAACTCCGGCCATCTCAGGTCGCCCAGGAGACCAATGGCCAGCAGACACACAGGCAAGCCCAGTCCTTCCCAGAAGGACCCACAGCACAAGCCACCAACTCAAAAACACCTGAACTCAGTAAACGTTCACCAATGGGTACACCAGGATTTGCTTGTTCTTTGTAATGCAGTGTTCATGTGACAATGGATAAATGATACAGAATGGTTTCTAGGAATTGAAGGCTTCTGAGAAATAACGTGGCACTGGTTTTGGGAGCTTATACCCTGCCACATTGCTGGATTTGCTTATTATCTGTAGTTTTATTTTGTTGTTGTTTGCTTTTAGGATTCATTGGAATTTTCTATATATAGGATCACGTCATTTGCAAACAGAGATAGTTTTACTTCTTCAATTTCAATTTGAATACCTTTTCTTTCTTTTTCTCACTTAATTTATCTGTTTAAAATGCTTCTGGTTCAATGTAGAATCCAGTGGTGAAAGCTGGAATTGTCTTGTTCCCAATCTTAAAGGGAAAGCTTTGTCTTTAACCATTGGATATAGCTGTGCATTCTTCATAAATGCCCTAATCATGCTGAAGAAGTACCCTTCTATTCCTATTTTTCTGAGTGATTTTTTAAAATCCTGAAATGATTTTGAATCCTGTCAAAGGCTTTTTCTGCATTCTTTGAGATGATCATGTGGGTGTTTTTTCTTTTACTCATTTAATGTGTGAGTCACATTGATTTTCATGTTAAACTCCCTTGTATTTCTGAGATCAATCTCACTTGGCCCTGGCATATAATTCTTTTAATATTCTCTTGGATTCAGTTTGCTAATATTTTGTTGAGGATTTTTGCATCTATATTCATGTTCATAAAGGATAGCACTCTGTAATTCTCTTTCATTGTGGTATCTTTGTCTGGCTATGGTACCAATGCAATACTAGCTCCACAGAATAAATTATGAAGTGTTCTCTCTTTTGTTTTTTGAAAATGTTTAAGAAGAAATGATGACAATTCTTCTTTAACTGTTTGGTAGAATTTACCAGTAAAGTAACCTCTTCCTGAACTTTTCTTTGTTGACTTTTTTTTTTTTAATTAGTGATTCAATTTTCTCAATTATTTTAAGTCTATTAAGACTCTTTTGGACTCAATTAGTTTATCTTTTCAAATAACTAGAATTTTGTTCTATTAACTTTCTCCCTTTTTTGTATTCTCTATTTTAAGCTCTCTGCTCTAACCTTAATTGTTTAATTAATTCTGCTGGCTTTGGGTTTAGTTTGTTCTTCTTTTGCTAGGTCCTTAAGTCATAAAGTGAAATTACTGAGTTGAGATATTTCTTTTTTTTAAATGTAGGCATTTATAGCTATAAATTTTTGTCCGAGCACTGCTTTTTATGTTATTACATAAATTTTGGTATGTGTGTTTCTGTGTTCTTTCATCTTAGAAATATTTTCCAATTTATTGTGATTGCTTCTTTGATCTGCTGTTTAAGAGTTTTAGCATATTCTATGGAAATAAAGATAGTTAGCCTAAATGGGATAAGTATAAGGTTAGGAGGATAGAAATTGGATTAACATGTGATAGGCATGTCCAAATAAGCAT